TTTTATATCTGGGGACATATATTTTAAACCTATGTGCCCCATTTGCCAGGTTGTCCCTTCTGACCCCGTGTTTCACACCCTGTATGAGTGTGATGGGCTTGTGGAGTTTCGTCGTTGGTTCGGCCCGGCTCCTGCCCTCACCCGTTGCATAGAGCAGTACCGCGAGAACCCTGTCTGGACCACTGCCATGGTCCCCGACCCGCGCTATTGCTCCCTGCTGGCACCACCTTTCCCAGACCCTGTCTGGGAAGGGGCCACAGACGGCCCCTTTTTTTCGTCGCCTGCGTACGGGGACGGCTCGGGAAAGCATGGTCCCTCGCCGCTCACTCTCCGTTGTGGATGGGGTGTTTGCTCATTTGCTCCGCGTAGTCGAAATGTTTTTGGTGAGCCCGTCGCCGATGATCGGCTTCGGCTTAGTGCTGGTGCCTATGGCGTATATCCATTTCTCACCCAGGATGTTTCAGGCGCTGAGCTTTACGCGTTTTTGTTTTATCTAACCCATGCTGCCCCCTCCGACTGCTATGAGTTTGTCACTGATGCCCAGTATGTCGTCGACGGTTGGGCAATGGGGTATGAAGCTACCACGCACGGATGGGCCACTCACGCATCCTTGTGGGTCCGTGTCCACCGTGCGGCTTCAGATATCGGGTATCACCTAATTAAGGTCACCAAGGTTCGTGGCCACTCATCCTCTGTGGGTAATAAGCAAGCCGACAGACTTGCTAACCTAGGTGCAGACCTACACACTCTGGACACGGTGCTGCACGACCGCATCAAGCGCTCTGGTGTGCTGGTGCGCAATCTTGGTGAGCATATCGGTCACTGTATAGCATGGATTTTTAAGAATGTGCCCAAAAAGGCCTGGGCGGCGGAGTCTGATGAGTCCCCTGCCCCCACGGCCCCATCCCTAGTCCTCTCTGGTGCCTCCTCTGGGGCCTTGCATGAGCACTTCTGGGACCCCTCAGCGGGTCGTTTTCGTTGTGTGAATTGTTGGGCCAGTTCAGTCTCCAAGAGCTATTTATTGCGTTCGCAGTGCTCTTCCCCCACTGGTGGTGGGCACGTGCTCAGGCGGCTAAATAATATCATTTTTTGTCGACGATGTGGCCGCTGCTCGTGCAAGAAGGCAGTTGATTTAACTAAATCATGCACTGGGCCCCCTCGGGCCTCTGGCACCATCTCACGGCTTCGGCGCATGTGCGATGGTCGTGACCCCCTGCACTGATCAACCAGTCGGTGAGGTAACTGCGGTTGACAACGTCAACGTTATATATATATATATATATGTTTTCCATGCCCCTCACGATGTCTTTACTTTTCATGTATTGTTTGATCCTGCATGGCTTTTAGAGGCTCCGTAGATTTCTCGGGCTTCGGAGGAGGGGTGGATGCATCCTGGGTTATCTGGTTTGTCTCGTCTGTCTGATGCTGGCAGGACTACTCGGATCCCCGACACCAGCCGCCAGTAGTGTTGTTCTGCAGTACTCCCTTTCCTGGCCGCTACAGAGGACAGCTTCCAGGAAGTAGGGTAGGCTTGGGATAAGTGGGTACAGAGGCGCTGAGAAGCAGGCACCCGTTCCGCCTGCGCCCACTTATCCCTTCTGTCCCCTTGCCATCCATCCCCTGGCCATGCTCGCAAAGAGAGAAGACTCTCGCCTGCCCGCCGCGCGGGGATTTTGCACGCCTCTTTGCGCGCCTCTCTGTCTGTGCTTTCTCTCTTACAGTTGGACAGTCGGACAGTAGGGTAGGATTGGGATAAGTGGGTACAGAGGCGCTGAGAAGCAGGCACCCGTTCCGCTTGCGCCCACTTATCCCTTCTGTGCTCTTGTCATTCCTCCCCTGGCCAGTCTCGCAAGGAGAGAAGACTCTTGCCCGCCCGCCGCTTGGGGATTTTGTGCACGCTTCTCTGTCTGTGCTTTCTCTCTTACAGTTGGACAGTCGGACAGTTGGGCAGGCTTGGGATAAGTAGGTACAGAGGCGCTGAGAAGCTGTCACCCGTTCCGCCTGCGCCCACTTATCCCTTCTGTGCTCTTGTCATTCCTCTCCTGGCCAGGCTCGCAAAGAGAGAAGACTCTTGCCCGCCCGCCGCTTGGGTTTTTTTTCTGTGCATGCCTCTCTGTCTATGCCTTCTCTCTACAGTCGGACAGTCGGACATAGGCTAGGCTTAGGATGAGTGGGCACAGAGGCGCTGCCGGCACCCGCACCGCCTGCGCCCACTCATCCTTTATGTGCTCATTTTGCCCCCCCCCCAGCCCAGGCTCGCGAAGAGAGGAAGGGCTCTCCGCCGCCTTGCTGGTCTGTTGTATAATGTGCTGCCTGGCAGGTTGAGGCTGGAAGCCCAGGAGCCAGGACGCGGGCTTCAAATTGTCTCACCAGTCTTGCCAGCATCGCGTGTTTCGGGCCCTCGTTTTTTCGTTGTCCCTGTTTGCTCGGGCCGGTCCCTCGCTCGGCTCTGTTCGGGTCCTGGTCCGCCCCTCGCTTCTTTCGGCCCTTCTTCGGGCCCCTCGCTCGTCGTTTCGGCGCCACGGGCAGGAGTGTTCGGCAGACGATCACCCGCGCGCAAATCAAACAATTTCGTCGGCCGCGCCCCGCTCGAAAAGCTTCGAAGTGGGCGTCCAAGGCCCGTGCGTCCTTATCGCGAAGCCTTCTGATACGCGCCGATTGTAGGTCCGATTGCATCCTCGCGAGCGCGCGCCCGACCCCAGGAGGGTTTCATGCTCTTGAATAGGGGAACAAAAAGCGACATAGACATAAAACCTCGGAGGTCCGCGCGGATTGCTCCGATCGGCGCTGGACCCCCCTCCCTGGCGCGCGGAGCGCGTCAGGGGCGGCGCCGGAGGCGCCGCCGGGGGGCCCCGGCACTTTTTATGTTTATGCCACTTTTTGTGTTATGTTTATATTTATGCCACTTTTTGTTCCCTTATTGAAGTCGACGCAGAACAAACCGCACAAACATAAACTTCTGGCGCCCCGCGCGGATTTCTTGGACCCGCGCCGGGCCCCCCCGGCGGCGCCTCCGACGCGGCCCCTATGCCGCGCTCCGCGCGCCAGGGAGGGGGGCCCAGCGCAGCTCCAAGCAATTCGCCCGGAACGCCGAAAGTTTATGTTTATGCTGTTGTCTCGGAGGTTGATAGACCTTCTACCTTGACACGTCGATTAGTGAATTGGCCGTTTTCGGTTCGCGAGAGGGCGTCGCGGCCGTCATTTTTGAGGGTCCAGGTCCGTCGGTTCCGGTCCCAGGCCGTTTTCACTAAGGGGAGGTGTACGAAAGGGAGGTTTGTCCACTGCCGATTTTCTCTTCTTCTATGCAGGATGCTCTTCTGTCATCCTTACCGCGCATCCTTATGATACAGGCTGACTAGGTCCGACTGCACCCACGTTGGCGTGCGCCCGACCCCGGGAGGCTCCCCCTCCGGCGATGGGCCTTCCAGCGTCGCTTCCTGCACCGCCCCTGGCACGCTCCGCGCGCCAGGAAAGGGGGGTCCAGCGCAGATCCAAGAAATCCGCGCGGAGCGCCAAATATTTTGTTCCCCGATCAGTGCTTGCACTGGAGGGGTCCTAGCGGATATTGAAGGATTTGGTGAAAACTTCCCGCCGATTTGGGTAGCTTGCTGGGTTCCCGGGTTCCCGATCCCGGTGTCCGGGGCTCCTTGCGATTGGTTCCGCGGGCCGATTTCTGCGGGTTCCCGGGTTCCCGGATTTCTCGTCGATCTCTGTATCGATATTTGAGTGATCTCACGATTCGTCAAACCATCCACTGATTGGGTTTTTCTATGATAGGCATGTGTACAGGGTCCCCCTGCTGTTCCTTCGGAATTCCTACAAATATTGGGGAACAAAGGGGCTTCGTTCCTTCCTTATCGTTCCTTAGGTCAGGCCGAATACTGTATGCCGTTTTTGCTTCTTCTATGCAAGGTGTTGCTTCGGCCCAGGCCTGGCTGCATCCGCGTGGGCGTGCGCCCGACCCTGGGGGGCTGCTCCCCCCCCGAAGGCTCTCGGGGGCCGCCCCGAGCAACGGCCACAAGGCGGCAGTGATGTCTTGCGCGCTCGCGTCGTTGTTCCGCACGCACGAAATTCGGGGGCGGACAGAGACCCCAACAGTGACACGTCGATTAGTGAATTGTCCAGTTTCGGTTCTCGAGAGGGCGCCGTGGCCGTCATTTTCCAGGCGTGCGCCCGCCAGGTTTGGGCCTCAGGTCGTTTTCGCTAAGCCACGTTTTACTAAAGGGGGGTCTGTCCATCCCCGAGAAATGGGCACGGAAAGAATGGGTACAGTGCCCAACAGCAGTTCCTGCTCTTTTTAAGCAGGATTCGCTGCCCACGCAGCCGCGGCCTGTGTCCATTCGAGACAGAAGGCCGCCTGCCCAACAGCTGCTGCTGTTGGTTTGGGACAACATTTGTTTTTGGCCATTTTTTTTTTCCGTACCCATTTCGGGCGTTCAAAGTTGCACCCCCCGCGGCCTCCAGAAGGCCGCGCACCAAAGGCCACTCTTACCCAGGGTCACTCTTACGTGTGGCCGATCTTCTGGCCGATGGGTCCGACTGCATCCACGTTGGCGCGCGCCCGTCCCCAGGAGTCTTGGCGCCAACATCGCAGAGCGGATCTCGTTCGAAACACAATAGGTTGGGCCCGGAGTGTCCTGGATAATTACGTTCTGGATTTCGAAGTGAATTTAGTACGGATTTTTGTTGTTGGCCTGGAGTGAAGACTGAAACAGATCCACGTGAAGTTCACGTCGTTCTTCGCTCGCCATTTCGGGGTCTTGCGTTGACAGAAAGCCATGCCAAAGCAGGGCTGAACCTAAGCGGTGTTGTTCGTTTTCGTTGTGTTATCGGTTTCCCTCGTTTTGTCTTCCATCCGCCTTTACCGCAGAACGAAGTTGAACCGACAACGGGCCCACGACGCTACCAAAACGCCGTTCAGGGCCAGCCCTGTGCCAGAGTCTGCTGCAGGCCGTCGGCCGCCCCCCGGGCCGCAGCAGCGAAGAGAAGCCGCCGCTCAGCGTGCCCGCGCTCGCGGGGGCGACGTGCGGCGCCATGGCGGTGCCCGTGAGGCGGGCCGCGGGGCCGAGGAGGAGGAGGAGGAGGAGGAGGAGGAGGGGGAGGAGGAGGAGGAGGAGGAGCGCTGCGGCGCGCAAGCGTCGGGCCACGGTGGGGGCCCGTGCCAGGAAACGCCCTGCTGTCAAGCAGCGGCGAACCGTCCTGGCTCGCTTGTAGCCCTGCCAGACATCGCTCTAAGAACCGTTTGGCGCTTCCACGGAATGTTCGTAAAACATGTTTGGCGGAGTCTGTCGCATGTTATCACATCGGATTTATGGTCGAAGAACATTGTTTCTGTTCTTGGAACAGTTTGGGGTTCTAAGAACATTTCGTGGTAGGACTACGGGAATGTCGGGACGGTCGGTCCTTGCCCAAATGCCAAGAAACGCCCTGCTTGCCTGCAGGGTGCCCTGGGTGTTTGGGGTCTCGACTGTTTGTTTGTGGAGACCGTGACGTCTTCACACCAGAAATCGAGGGACGTCCTGGGGTCTCGGGGCTGTGGTTTCTTGTGGTCGGGCCCTTACTGTGAGTCGGGCATGTCCCTCTACAGGAGGACTATTCGAAAACAGTCTCACACACACACACACAAAAAGCCAGGGGGCGCTTTCTCTGTTAGTTTTGACTATGTTTGAATCGTGTTCGAACCTATTTGTTTTGATTCCAGCATCCGCCTGTAGGAGGACATGACCGACCTGAGCGATGGCTGGGCATCGCTCGGGCGGGTGCATGTTGTTCTCGGCGAGGACCGTCGTGGAGCAGTTCTCGAAGAAGCAGAAACGCCATAAACACAACCTTTTGGCGCTCTGCTCGGATTTCTTGGATCCGCGCGGGACCCCCCGGCGGCGCCGGAGGCGAAGAAATCCACGCGGAGCGCCAAAAGTTGATGTTTGATTCCTTTTGCCTTATTCTGAGTAGTTTGAATCTACGTACGAAAAACCAAGGCTACACGAAGCCGAGCAAATGCACGCAAAGTGGACGTCCGAGCGATGGCAAGCTGGGCTCGAATTCATGGGGGAGCGATAGATGGGGAGGCAGCGAGGGCTGCCGAAAAGGGGCCCTTTCGGGCCCACGAGGGGGCCTTCTTCGGGTCCGAAAAGGGCACCCTTCCCCCTCCTATTGATCTCCCACCCATAAACTCGCGCCCAAAAGCACTCTCTTCCTTGGGGTTCGCTCCTCTCCCTCTTGCACTTGCTAGCGGTGGGAGTGTCCGCATCCACGCCCTGGCGGTCCAACAATGGCGGGGCGCGGCCCTTTGGATAACGCGAACGCGCGGAGATGCGCTCTGGGCAGGGTTCCGCGAACAACAAACGCGCGCTGAGGCCGTGGATATGGATAGGTTCCCCGCCCGTGACGCATCCCTCTCTCTGTCCCTCCCCCGTCTTCGCATCCTGCTTCTCAACTGCTCAATACAAGTACCACTCTGCCTCCCCCCTGACTCTGTCCGGAAGATGGCCGGGCTGGCCGGCCCTCTTCCCACTTGTTTCTGCACACCAGATTTCAGGATTCGTTTTTGTCATATGTTTTTTTTCGGGCGTAGCCCGAACTTGTTTCTCGCGAGGTGAATTGGACTGGACTGGACTGCAGTGAACTGAACTGAACTGAATTGACTGGTCGCACTCGTGACGCGACGGTTTTACTGTTGGCGGCCAGGAGTGCAACCTATGGCGCAAACGGCGCAACCAATTGGAGACGGTTTCATTTTCGGCCGCCGAGGGCGCAACCTATGGCGCACCGATACGGAACAGGTTTCATTCTCGGCCGCCTAGGGCGCAACCTATGGCGCAACCACTAGGAAACGGTTTCATTTTCGGCCGCCGAGGGCGCAACCTACGGCGCACTGATACGAAACAGGTTTAATTCTCGGCCGCCTAGGGCGCAACCTAGGGCGCAACCACTAGGAACGTTTTTATTCTCGGTCGCCGAGGCCGCAACCTATGGCGCAATCACTAGGAGACGGTTGTAAGTTCTGCGGCCGAGGGCACAACCTATGGCACAACCGATAGAAGATGTTTTATTTTCGGCCGCCGAGGGCGCAACCTATGGCGCAATGGTTAGGAGACGTTCTTGTTCTCGGCCCCAAAAGGGTCGACCTATGGCGCAACCGATATGAGACGGTTTGATTGTCCGCGGCCGAGAGCGCAACCTATGGCGCGACCAATTGGAGACCGTCTTGTTCTCGGCGGTCGAGAGCCCAAACTATGGCGCAACCGATAGGAGACGTTTTTTTTCTCGGCGGCCGAGACCGCAACCTATGGCGCAACCAGACGGTATTGTTTTCGGCCGCTGAAGGCGCAACCGATGGCGCAACCTATAGGACACGGTTTTATTATCGGCCGCCGAGTTCGCAACCTCTGGTGCAGCCCATAGGAGACGGTGTTATGTTCGGCGGCCGAGGGCGCAACCGATTGCGCAACCTATAGGAAACAGTTTCATTATCGGCCGCCGAGGTCGCAATTTGTGGCGCAACCAATAGGAGACGGTTTAGGGTGCAATTTACGGCGCAACAGATCGGGGACGGTTTTCTTATCAGCGGCCGAGGGCGCAACCTTTTGGAGCCACCGGTAGGAGACGTTCTATTATCGGCGGCCGAGGGCGCAACCGATGGCCCAACCGAGAGGAGACGGCTTTGTTCTCGGCCCCGGAGGGTGCAATCTATGGCGCAACCGATAGGGGACGGTGTGATTCTCGGCGGCCGAGGGCGCAAATTATGGCGCAACCAATTGGAGGCGGTTTTATTCTCGGCGGTTGAGGGCGCAACCTATGGCGCATGGTTAGGAGACGGTTTTATTCTCGGCGGCCCAGGGCGTAGTTTATGTGTTCCCTTGGTACGACCAGGACGCCGTCAACGCACTCACCGTGCCGGGTGCCCGCGAGTAGTACGAGGACGAAGCATGGGCATCCAAATGCGTGCGGAGCTACGCCCGATTTATGCTCGCCGTTTGGGCTGGCGGTGGGGCGCAAGCGGCGAGCTGTCTTCTGTTTAAGTCGAAACGTTCTCGGTGTTTCAAGATCGTGTTTCCGCTGCATTTTGGGCATCGTTTTCGGATCGGCCTTTTGCTCCCGTCGTTCAGAACGGCGCTCTCGCCGCATCGCGGGCCTCTTTTCTGGCTTCGAGTACTTCCCCAATCGTTGTCGCCCCCCCTCCTTTCCCCTCCTCCCCCTGTCCTCCCACACCCCCCAATCCTTCCGATCCAGTTCCTGCTGCTGCTGTTCGTCCTCGTCTTCCTCATTCCGCATCCTCGTCTTCCTCCTGATCATATGCCACCTCCTTCAGTATACGCAGCTCCCCTTCTCCAACTGCGCATCGCACGATGGGGTCTTTTTTGGAGTTTCAGGTCCATTCCGCCATGACACGCGTCGGCGGAAAGAGAAACATCAGCGCCATGAGAATTGATGGGTCTTGGCATCGCTCGGACGTGTGCATTTTTCGTTCGGGGAGGACCATCGAGGAGCATCCTTCATCATTCGAAAAGACCACGCACGAAACCGAAACAAAAACACAAGGAAAGGACGTCCGCGCGATGGCCAGCCCTCCTTTCCCCCTGCTTTTCCCTCATTCCTCCCCCCGCTCCCCTCTCCTCTGCCCTTGTCTCTCGTCTTCCCCCCTGCAGTCAACCCGCATAGCAAGGACGGGCAGCCTTCACAAGAGTACCCTTGCATTCGTGCCCCCATCGGTCCATCCTTGGCCACTTTTCGTTTGCCGTGCCCTGCTCGAAAAGCGCTGACATGGGCGCCCAAGGCCCTTGTTCGGGCCGAACGAAAGGGGGGGGGGGTACGAAATCTGCTACGTGCAGGTGGTCTCGGCGCTGCCGCCAGGCCCATTCCTCGATACATGGGCGCCTCCCGGCGCCGGGAGGCGCTGGGAAAATCAGCTGCGTGAGCTGATTCTCAACACCCTCCTTTGCTATCCCCCCCTTTCGCCTGGCCCGATGATCGCGCATCCGTACTACACTCAGGAGGGGAAAAAACACAGACACAATTAATCGTCGACTCCCAGGAAAATATGCAAAAATATGGGAAGTGGGGGGGAAGTCAGAAACCCAGAAAATATGGGAAAATACGGGGAATCTTTTTATCTGTGTGTATTTATTGGTGTGTCCAGGGGCCCCTTCATATACGGGTTGACTGTAGTCCCCGGAGGCCAGGGGAGGCCTGTCGTAGACGAGCGCCAGCGGCACACGAGAGACCGCACGGGACGTCAAGACATCCATGCTGGCACCCTCTGCCGGCCCTCCGTGGTCCGAGTTGTTTCTCTTGAGCTGTATAGGTCCAGCGGAGTGTTGAACGGCCTGTAGCGTTGTCATGTTCCAACCGAGTTTAGTCAGGAGGGAAAGAAACACACAGACACACTTAATCGTCGATTCCCCCGGAAAAATATTGGAAAATATTGGAAGTGGGGGGGAAGACAAAAACCCAGAACGTATTAGAAACTATGGCGAATCTTTTTATTTGTGTGTATTTATTTGTGTGTCCCAGGGCCCCTGCAGTTATGATGTTCCAACCTACTTTAGCCTTGACCACCAGAAAGAATTTCGAGCACCAGAAAAGTACGCAACAACTCTAAGGGTTCCACGTGCCAGGCCCTGGGAGGCACTCGTCCGACACTGTGTCGACACTCTTTCGACACTTTCCCGGGTGCTCGAAAGTGTTTCGGGGGTGTGGTCTTGAGTACGATGGGAGCAACATACCTCTAGCGGTGCTTGCTGCCTGCAAAGCCCCGCCCTCGTCGCCGCCGCGTCACATGCTGTACTCCCGCGAGGAAGCTCATTATCTTTTCAAGATTTGCGCGTGATGACATCCATGTGTGGCAGATTCGCTCTCACGCACTCGCACGCACGAGCGAGCGCACTGCGAGCGAGTCGTCAGGCGCCGTCGGGTGCCACTGGAAGATTTGAACTACGTGCTCCATCGACTCTTACGGAGACGTTGCGCGCAGAGAACATGCTCTGCGCCGTCACCGCGCGCATTCCGCACCTCCATCGGGTGTCTAAATATTGCGCGAACTTAGGAGACA